GGGAGGGCTTCTAGTGTCCTGGCCCCACTGGTGGACCTCCTGATGGCACCTGGAATTTTTGGCCACTGTGTGACAGAGTGTTGGACTGGATGGGCCATTGGCTTGATCCAACATTGGCTTCTCTCTTATGTTCTCTTATGTTCTTAAGAACCTGGATTGGATATAGGCAAGCTAATTCCATTAAGCTAAAATTCATCCCTAGGGACCCAAACACAGGTGGCTCAGCATGATGTTTGGCTTGTTGGCACTATGAATGAATTATTGGGATGTCTCACCTCGTGGTGTGATTTCACCTCATGGTGTGATTTCTCTGTTGGATCTGTAATGTATGTTAATACTTTAGATTACAATGGCTGTGCTTGTGTTTTAAAGCACTGAGAGCACTGAGGTCAGGGACTCAAAACTGCCTGACTGCCCCCGGCCTGAAAGACACCAGACTGGCCATTACGAGGGCAAGGGCTTTCTCAGTGGCGGCTCCACACTGGTGGAACGAGCTCCCGGAGGACATCAGGGCCCTGCGGGACCTTTTACAGTTCCGCAAGGCCTGTAGAACGAAGCTCTTCCACTAGGCTTTTGATTAGAAGCCGCCACTGACCATTGCAAACTGAACACACCACAGCCCTATATAACAACGCCGGTTATGGCCTCTCCGTCGGACCATTTACAGAAACTCCCGCCATCGGTTTATTGATGAAATTTTCTGGACTATCCAGTCCCACCATCGGTTTATTGACGAAATGTTCTGGACTATCCAGTCGTTTTGAAGGTCTTCATCTGAACTGGACCATACATATCAGTTGTCCCCTAGTTTCCATCTACCAAGCTTGAGCTTCCTTCCACCTAGATGGCCCATCTTCAACTGTAACCTTAACTCCAAACAGAAACTGTTGATTACTTGCAGAATTATGCTACAGTAAAACATTGAAGTATTGTACACATTATTGGGTGTTGTAAATAAGAAGCGGGAGACTGACCAGTTATGAAGGTGCACAGAGAGTTTATATAGTTATAAAGGTGAATATATACAGAGATATTTACAGGCTATTGAACAGCATGTTGTGCCTTAGTCTATGAGAACTACGTCCCCATCCAGCTTACTAAGATGATAGTTATTATGCTAAACCCCAGCCAATCTCTAATAAGGTGATGTAATCACTAGCTCCAACAAGCCCTGAAAGAGCAACACCTGCTAGAAAACACCTGGCTGTAATTACATGATTACTAGCATGACCGCTAGGTCTGACAAACAGATCAAACTAATCTATAGTAACTGCTTGCTACCTCATAACACTCTGACATATATCTCAATACACATTGCTATTCAACAATGGATGGAAACTAGGAGACAACGGATATGTATGGTCCAGTTCAGATGAAGACCTTCGAAATGACTGGATAGTCCGGAAAATTTCATCAGTTCAGTATTTTGGACCTTTCTTCCATTGTATTTTTTTCACAATTTTACAATGTATTGTTGTTATTATTATTCACTAGTATAGTATCGTTTTTGCATTATTTAATGCATGTATTTTTTGTCTTGGGTTCTCTGAAACACATTAGGTAAACATGAGGCATGTACAGAACTTCTCAGCCTACCTGTACAGATTCCTAGTTGTGAAGATCTAGTTTTCTCCTTAAGAGAGCAATGAAATTGTAGCAGCCCTGCAGCCCGTGGCCCAGATCAGCAAATCTACTACAAAGCGTTTTATCTTTGTATAATTTTTGCATCTGATCAGCCATGTGCTGTGTGTTTTAATTCCAGGGAAGCCCTGATGCACGATTATTTTTTGCTACCAGCCCAAGCCATGGTATCTGTGAAGTGCTCCACGTACCACAAGGACTCTTGCTGTGTGCTGATGGGGGATGCGGCGCATGCGGTCGTCCCTTTCTATGGACAGGGCATGAATGCGGTGAGCGAAAGAGTCAGCTCTGCACTTCCTAAGCATTTGCATCTCCCCCGTAGAAGGGAGTGCAGTTGCTAAGGTGGTGCAGTTGCACCTGAGGTGAGGCAGTTGCTAAGGCCAAGGTCTACAGGTGGAGTCCACTGCTGCCGCCCCCCCCCCCACTGGTTCACCTCTGCTCATCTGCTTGTCGTGAGCCCTGCCACCACCCGCATTCCCAGCTGTATGCATTTCCTAGCACAGGGTGTAGTGGTTAAGTGCCAGTTTGGTGTAGTGGTTAAGTTAAGAGCCAGTTTGTTAAATTAAGAGCCAGTTAAGTGCACGGACTCTAATCTGGGAGAACCGGCTTTGATTCCCCACTCCTCCATTTGCACCTGGCTGGATGACCTTGGGCAAGCCATAGTTCTGGCACAGCTGTTCTTGAAAAAGAGCAGTTTCTGTCAGCCCCACCTCCCTCACAGGGTGTCTGTTGTGGGGAGGGGAAGGGAAAGGAGTTTGTAAGCCGCTCTGAGACTCCTTTGGGTAATGAAGGGCGGGGTATAAATCCAATCTCCTCCTCCTCTTCTTCTTCTTGATCAAAGGAAGTGAAAGCAGCATGGAGTGTGGAGGCTACCATAAAATCTGATGATCAAAGGGAGTGAGAGGAGCATGCAATGCAGAGGGGAATTTCTGTTCCAACGTGGGTTTCGTAAAACAACAGAGGGAAAAGCCAATGCAGAATCAGCCCCAGTCCTCATACTACTTACCATGGAAAAGGAGCATTAATTGTTCTGCGTGGCTACCAAGGACAGAGCAAACCAGAAAAAACTGGTGGGGGAACTTTAAAAGTTTCCCCATTGCTGAAAACTGTAAACACAGTTTGGATGACTATTTCGCACTTGATTTAGGTCAGGATTTAATTGATCCAGGGGAGTTAATTGCTTTCCATGCATCTTCCGCAGCTCATGAATTACATGTTAATGATATCCTAAGCTAGTGGTTTTCCTTTCTGACAGGGATTCGAAGACTGTCTAGTTTTTGATGAGTTAATGGACCAGTTTCAAAATGATCTCAGTGAGTATATGTCTGTGGGGAAAGATGGCATTGTATGCATTTGCAGTCCCTTCCTTGGGATCACTTATTAAAACTGCTGCTCATATGAGCAATTGCCTCTGTAGACTGAGGACCAAGCAAGATGCCTCTTATCGAGTATTGAAACAGCTGCACGTGTGGCACACAGACATGCCCCAGGGCTCTTCTGACACTTGAAAAGGTGCAGGGGCAGAAACAGGAGCACTGCGCTGAGGGTCTGATCTGAATCGGGGCCTTGTGGCCTTTTAAAATTTGCTTTAAAATGTCAGCAGCATCCTTGTAGTGGCCATGAGGAAACCATTGCACCTGGTATGGGCCTAAGAAAAGATCTTCTGTCCCATATTGGGACAGTGGGACTAAGATCATATTGGGACTAAGATCAGTGGACTAAGATCATATTGAGACTAAGATCAGTGGGACTAAGATCATATTGGGACAGTGGGACTAAGATTTTCAGTGGGACTAAGATCTTGATCTATTTGCACTTTGCAGAAACAACAATTATGTTTTTTTCTGCTATCCTAGTAATGTTGTTCTAAGATGGGGCTTGACAAATCCCAGCCACCAGGGCACCTAAAAATTTCCTCATGGGGCCTAGCAGTTTCAGCAGTCACTGATTTTAAGTGCTGCTTGGTGGTTCTCTGTAAAAGTACAAAACTTATTTAGGTGAGGGACAGAGGTCACCTTTTTGCTGTGATGATAACCAGGGCTACCCCCATATTTATTTATTCACAACTACACTTTAAGCAAAGCTTTAAAAGAAATGCAAGATTCTAGGATTAGGTTTTGTGGCAGCAATAATGAGAAGGCATGGTCATCTATATATCTAATAGCAAAGTGGCCCCCGTGCATGCAGATACCTAAATCCGCGCATCGGGGGCACCTGGGGGGAGTTTTGTGCATAGGTGGGGCAGTCCCCAGGTGTGGACAAAAATCTAAAAACCCAGAAAAAATATTGGGGGGATACTTAAATCCCCCCAAAAGTGACAGAGCGTCCCCCGCGCATGTGCAGGGAACGCTCTGCGAACTCCCTCGCTGCCGCCGCTTTGGGGGGGAAGAGAGCAGCAAGGACGAGTGGCAAGCCGCTCGGGCCTTGCTTCGGAGCCGGGGGGGAAGGCAAGGGGCGGAGATCGAGCGGGGTGTGTGGAGAAGACGGGGGAGGAACCGGCGGGATGGGGGGGGACTTACCTCCTCCTACTACTTCCTCCTCTGCCTCATGTGTGGAGGTCCCCCCCCCCGCGAGTATCGCGGGTCCCGCCCGTTGTTAAACTATAAAAGCCTGAAAGAATAATTCTGGCTCTTAATTTTTGGAGTGGTTCTTAAAGCCGAAGAAAATTTGTGAAGGCCTATAATAAGAGCTACGGGAAGCTCAAATAGAATGGAAGGAAAAGAGATGCCAAATTTAACACCATTTCTATGGATATGACCTTTGATATTCCCATTTTGGCTATCTCATCCACTAAGGTTTGTCTTTAGTAATGCTACAGTATTTGTATTCCCCTCCTCTTCATTAGGCTCTGCAGAGGAGATTGTTTAACGTAGGCCTTAAAAGGCAAAGTGTGTATGTGGGCTCTTCAGCTTTCTTATTTCCTCACTTGTGTGCCCCTGTTGCTTTGAGTTTCTTTTCTGCATGTGTTGTGCTCCCTCTAGTGGTCAATCTGGTATTACATTGTTGTATGTCTGGTCTAAAACCCCACAGATTTAAACGGTAGGGGTTTCCCCCCCGGGTATACAGCAATGTAATAGCGAACCAGCCACTAAAGGGAGAAAAACACGTGTCTAAAAAAACCTTTGAAACAATAGGGGCACACAAGTGAGGAAAATGAGAGTACTGAACAACCGTGTCAGAAAAAGGTGCACCTTCCAGGTACAGGGAGCACCTGAAGTTTACCTGTGTGTGATGGTCCACTTCCAGTTATTTTGGTTTCTTCCATGCTTATTTGCATGATTTTGTAATCTGCCTCAGGTGTCTGCATCCCTGAGTTCTCCAGGCTGAGAGTTCCTGATGACCATGCCATTTCAGATTTAGCCATGTACAATTACATTGAGGTAAGTCAGATATCATTCTGGTGATGATTTATTTAATTTATTTATTTATTATTAAATTTCTATCCCTCCCTCCCTGCGAACGGGCTCAGGGCGGCTTACAATTAAGGGCACCATGTGCCAGAATATATAAAACATGATGTACCAATGAGAAACATAATCAGATGTAAAGCCTGCCTTGGTTGTTTCAGATGCGCTCCCATGTTAATTCAAAGTGGTTCATATTCCGGAAGTATGTGGACAACTTTCTTCACGCCCTCCTGCCCTCCACCATTATCCCTCTCTACACAATGGTAAGGCACTCTGATAATGGCAGCACTTTCCCTACTTTCGGTTATTTTGGTTTCTTCCATGCTTATTTGCATGGTTTTGTAATCTGATGCAGGTCACGTTCTCCAGAATCCGCTACCATGAAGCTGTGCAAAGGTGGAAATGGCAGAATAAGGTCAGAGGAATTTCAGAGGGATCTTTCCAAAATAGGCGTATGTGTGATAGATTTTAATTTAATTTAATTTAATTTAAGAGAGCCAGTTTGGTGTAGTGGTTAAGTGCGCGGACTCTAATCTGGGAGAACCGGGGTTGATTCCCCACTCCTCCACTTGCACCTGGCTGGATGACCTTGGGCAAGCCGTAGTTCTGATAAGAGCTGTTCTTGAAAAAGAGCAGTTTCTGTCAGAGCTCTCTCAGCCCTGCCTACCTCACAGGGTGTCTGTTGTGGGGAGGGGAAGGGAAAGGAGTTTGTAAGCTGCTTTGAGACACCTTTGGGTAGTGAAGGGCGGGGTATAAATCCAATCTCTTCTTCTCTCTTCTTCTTCTAATTGTGGTCTCTCTTTATCTCTTTTTGTTGTGGAGATATACGAGGAAATTTCCCTATTGCCTTTCTTCATATAACTATGCAATAAAAAGGGCTAGAGGTTTACTTTTAGGGGTTTTTTGCCATCAAGTCAAGATGACTTCTTGCGACCCCTAGTGGGGTTTGAAGGCATGGGACATTCAGAGGTGGCTTGTCATCATCTACCTCTGCATCACAACCCTGGTATTCCCTGGAGGTCTCCCATCCAAATACTAGCCAGGGCCGGCCCTGCTTAGCTTCCAGGATCTGACAAGATCAGGTTTGCCTGGGCTATCCAGGTCAGGGTAAGATTTAGTTTTAGTTTGTCGAGGAAAGCTGGGAATAGAAGATTTTACTCTGTTCAGTGACCTCTTTATTTGTACAGCACTGTGTAACTTTGCTATAAAATTATCATAAGTAGCTATTCTTCTGACCCTTTGAATTCTAAATATGTCTTTAGAAGCATTCACAGTCCTAAATACCCAACTGTATAGTTGGGAAGATGTAAGTTCTGAGTATGGACAGATAAACCTATTGCAAACTGCATACCCCCACCCCGTGTGCAATGTTTTTAGCCTTTGGACTGAGACCTGTTAGACAATTTGCTTTCCTTCTCTCAGGTTATCAACAGGGGCCTCTTCCTAATTGCGACAGGTGCAACCCTAAGTGGCATATACCTGCTCAGGAGCTGCCTAAAGCCCAAATGGGACTTCTCTGTGGAAGGTTTCTGGAGATGGACTCTTGGCCTCAGGAAATTTGAAATGATATAACTGTTTACACAAGAGTGTCGAAACCTGGAGAGACAATAGGGGCGCTTGAAGTCTCAATGAAATCCCTCCGTGGCAAGTCAGATCCTCCAGGCGGATGAATCACCGACGACCAAGGCTTGTCGCCCGATCAGAATTATGTGTGTCTCAGTACAGAAGCCAGTGTGGCTTTTGCCACTGACCTCAGCACACAGGCTATGTTTAAGGTCACCAACCTCCCTGTGGAGCCTGGAGATAGCCCAGCATTACAACAGATGTCCCGATGACAGAGATCAGTTCTCCTGGGGAAAATGGCTCCTCTATGGCATCACAGCCCTGCTGAGCTCTAGGGTTGCCGGGTCCCCCCTGGCCACCAGCAGGGGTTGGGGGGGGGCAGGGTTGCCAGATCCAGGTTGGGAAAATCGTGGAGATTTGGGAATGGAGCCTGGGGAGGACACGGACCTCACTGGGGTCTAGCTCCATAGAGTCCCCCCTCCAAAGCATCCATTTTCTCCAGGGAAACCGATCTCCATCGTCTAGAGATGAGCTGTAGTTCGGGCGGGGGGATCTCCAGGTGCCACCTGGAAGGTGGCATCCCTACTGAGCTCCCTCCCATCCCCAAACCCCATACTCCCTAAGGCCACCCCCAAATCCCCAGGAAGGCCTCCAGTTTCTCTACCTCAGCCCTGTAACAGAGTTGATTATGAGCACTGCATTTTTTTAAGTAAATGTTGATCAGTTTATCTCCTGCCAGTTGTTTTTTCTTAATTAATCCTGGGGAAAGGAGGGGCTCTATATTGTTTGAAGCGTCCACTAGAAAGCCTGCATGCCTATTAGTGCAGGATAACCATTTCATATGGAAGCCTGGTATTTCCTTCTCAAAAGTGATATACTTAAATGGAGTTCGATTATTGAGGGTTCCTAGTCCTTCATTAAGGAGCTGTGGTGGCTCAAGTGGTTAAGACGCTGAACTGCAGGCTGTGGAAGGTCAGTAGTTCAGCAGTTCGAGACCCGAGTGTGCCGCATGACAGAGTGAGCTCCCGTCTCTGGTTCCAGCTCCTGAAATTGCAAGTAGATAAATAGGGACCACTTCGGTGGGAAGGTAACAGCGTTCCGTGCGCCTTGGCGTTTAGTCATGCCGGCCACATGACCAAGGAAACGTCTTCGGACAGCGCTGTCTCTTCAGCTTTGAAACGGAGATGAGCACCGCATCCCTAGAGTCGGCTTTGACTGGCTTTCGAGCAAGGGAACCTTTACCTTTATGCATAGGGTAACCCATGTTGCTTCCCGGGGGGAGAGGGCAAGGGAACCTTTACCTTTACCTTTTACCTAGTCCTTAATTACAGGAGTCCGCAGCATACTGACTGTGGGTGCCATGGTGGCCACCAAGTATTTTTAGGAAGTGGGTGGGAAGGTGGGGCTTTTTGTCCTGCAAGGCTTTTGATTGGCTGTGCAGATTTCTTAACATGTAGCTCTGGCAGCAGCTACCACCACAGCATAAGGATCTTCAACATGTGACTGAAGGTAAGCTGCAGCAGCCCTTTTGTGGCCAGTTCCATCTTCCAGGGCAAACATTTTATGGGTGTGCTAGGGTCTCCAGGTCTTGGGTACTCCTGCCTGGTCCCAGGATCTTCTGGTGAACAGTGACATCATCACGCCAGGCACATCATCCAGGGGACACTCTAGCATTTGGGCAAAAGACTCTATGGTCACCACAGAGTTTTAACCTAAATGCTAGAGCGTCCCCCGTGCAATATGCCCGGTGCAATGACATCACCTCCGGGTAATGTCATTGTGCCGGGCACATCGGGCACAATGGGGCTCTTCGGGGGCAGGGGTCCCTCTGCTGGCCATCGGTGGATTGGTCCCCCCAAAAATGGGGGAACCCCCACCTCCATCGGTGGGATGGCAACTCCTAGGCTGTGCCAAAGGAGCTTGCAGACGTGAAAAGGTTTTGGGGGGGAACCCCTGTCTTATTATTTCTTGCAAGGAACAATGCCTATTGTAGCCCCCAAATAAGTTTTTCTTCGTATTTTCTTGCCCTAACTTAAAGAAATTTGGGATCCTCTTCTGAGCTCCTGAAGTGAGAGACTCTGTCTCCAGCATTGCTCTTCCATGTGTGTGAAAAACCACATATATTACAGGTCTTCCAATGCAGTTCTCTTGCGAAGGGGACCCCTTCCCCTCTCAGCTTGGGATTTACTGAAATGGTATTTGGAGTATGAACATGGCGGAGCTCTAGGACACACACCAATCAGCACAGCGAGATCACAAAGGCTATGCTTGGTGGGAAATAAGAGAGCTGGTTCTTCCACTAGGTGTACCTGGGTATTTGCCAGTCTGTCTCTGATCTGGAGGGGCATCAAGCCAGCCCTCCTGCAGTACTGCAGAATTGGCCACGGCAGCCAGCGCCACACTGGGGCCTTCCCACGGCACCCAGGTTGGGGGTGTGGGGCCTTCTGACATTGCTGGGTCTGGGGGTGGTGGCAAGGTGTGGTGGCAAGCCACAGGCCTGACCCCACTGAGGGCAGCCTGAGTGGGGCTGGCTTTCCCACAGTGTGGGGGGCGGGGTGGAAGTCATACACCTAGGACGGCCAAAAACCCTTCGCCCAGCCCTGGGAGACAATTGTAGCAGGCTGCCAGGCTGGAAATTTTGTTTCTAGAGGAAGGCCAGTTCAGAATGTTGTATATACACATGCATATAAGGGGAGGGAGGAATGCTGAGTATACAATTTAGCTTTAGGAGCTTCCTTCCTTCCTTCCTTCCTTCCTTCCTTCCTTCCTTCCTTCCTTCCTTCCTTCTTATGGCTCTGAACCCAGTGTTGTACCACTGCTCCTTTGGACTGTGCCAGACAGACTCGCCTCAAGCTGTTCTGGCTCCCCCTCCCATTCCAAGAAGTGCTGAGAGGAAATTTAGCATCCATTTTATCTCCACTGGTAAAATTATAGCCCAGACACCATCCATGGCAGTGCTGGGGTAGAAGTTAGAAAAGGTTGGAAACTCCTGGAAGACACAAATCTGGAGATGTCCAGGGATGGGAGAAGTGGGGTCAAGGGGTGGAGCACATGAACCCTGGGAGAACACTGAGGGGTCAAACGGTGGAGCCACACACTAATTAAGCTAAAGTGCACAGCATTCTCGCTTGGTTGCTATCTTTCTGGAGGTAGAGTGAAGAAGAAAAGACAGGTGGAGACAGATGCAGTGTTTAAAGAAGCTGCTTTTGAGGCACAGAAAATCCTAGGCTGAAAATGGAAGTTAAAATTGGCTATAAGCCTAGTGCTACAAACGTCTTAAAGATGTAGCACAGCAAATTCTTTGACCATAAAAGGCGCTAAACTATCAAAAATCAGCTCTTCATTATATGGGAAAGGCCTCATCTGGCCAGAGGGGGGAAACTGGTCATGCCTCAAAAAAAACTGGGCAGTTAGCAGCTGGAGAGTGTAGACAGAAGGGAGTGGGTTACTATGGTGTGGGAATGTAACACAAAAACTCTCTTGTGGTAGGACTAGGAACTGTTAATCAATAGCTACAGGATTCTCTAGAATAAGATCCAGGGCAGGAAAGCCTGTAATTCTTCCACAGGATTATATACTGGTCGTTAGCCGACTGTGGCCTTGTGCCTCTTTGCCTTAGGTCTAGCATGTAAGGGGCCTATTCTAATATGTCAAACATAGTGTGGGTCTGCCACAGTCTCATACTCAGCTCTGCTCCTGTGACTGGGGTGTTCTGTCTCTAAGAACAGGCATGCCTCCTTGGTAGCCCTCTTCCAGACACACTCTGGTTTGTCAAGCATCCTTAAGTGTCTTGCCCAGAACTGGACAAGGGACTCCGTATGTGGCCTAACTGCTGCAGAAATACAGTGGAACTATTATTTTCTGGTGATCTGGACACTCTGCTTCTGTAATGCAGCTCAAGACTGCATTTGCCTTTTTAGCAGCTGCACTGCACCGCTGGGCTGGCTCACGTTCAGTTCATGCCTAATACACTTGGATCCATGTCATGTGTTCTGCTGCCAAGTCAGGTCACTTGTGCTTTGATTTTTTTGTATCTAAATGTATATATTTGTCCCTCGCATTTTGTTGACTTTTACCAATAAAATATTAGTCATCTCAGGGATGGCATCTGAGATTTATTACTTGCAGCTGATTACTCTGGCAATGAAATCACAGATTCACAGTAGAAGTCTGCACACTTGCATCACATTAAATCAGCTATTAAAAGCAACATTCCTTTAATATATTAAGTACCTTCCAGCCTATTGTCTTTATATCAATAAATATGGCTACTTTATAGGTCAAAATCCCCGATACGGTACCTGCGGGTGCCATCGCAAACACCAATACATTGCCCGGTGCCCGCTTGCTTCTTGAGACTTGGGGACAAAATTCCCCCTTTTCAGTTTCTTGTGGCCAAGGGAATGGCTGAAGGGCCATATTCCCCCACACTATCACAGAAGTTGCTACTGCAGCAAAATTTCACTGAGACACGTACCTGAATCCTATTCTCACGGCTTCCTCCCCGTCTAACAGCAGAAAATGGCTGCCTGCTTCTGGTGTGAATGGGAAGGGAGAAATGCCTTGAAACCAGCAGGTTGTTTTTTTTTTAAACAGCCTGTATTCATTCTATAGTATAGGCGGGGGGGGGAGGAATGAAGGCTCCATTATATTGTACAAGGGAAGAATGGAGCCTCTGAAGAGACAGGACCCTAGGTCACTGAGGCTTTGGTAGTCCTGAGAGTTCACCCTCTGAAAGAGTCCTGGATTGGTCAATTTTTCTTCTCCTTAGGAAGAAAGGAAGACTGATGGCCTTCGCCAGTGGATTAGTATGGATCCATTGACCAATCAGGGGCTTGGAGGGAACTGTAAGGACAGCTTCCTTGTCCGACAAACTAGCATCCTGGTGTGAATGGGCCTGGATTAATGGGGAAGGAAATCCCTCTCTATGGTGCTGGAGAAGACTCTTGAGAGTCCCTTGGACTGCAAGATCATCAAATCAGTCAATCCTAAAAGAAATCAACCCTGACTGTTCCCTGGAAGGCCAGATAATGAAGCTGAAGCTCAAATATCTTGGCCACCAAATGAGAAGGGAGCACTCAAGACCCTGATGCTGGGAAAGATTGAAGGTCAAAGAAGAAGAAGGGGACGGCAAAGGATGAGATGGTTGGACAGTGTCATAGATGCAACGAACATGAAATTGAGCAACCTCCGGAGGATGGCAGAAGACAGGAAGGCCTGGCATGATTTGGTCCATGGGGTCATGAAGAGTTGGACTCGACTGTGCGACTGAACAACAACAAAAAATCCCTCTCCAGGGAGCCGATTTGCTTGCTTGCAAGTGCTGAGTTAAACAAAGACAAGACAGAGACTGACGGAGCTTCGTAGGGTTACCAGCTCTGGGTTGGGAAACTCCTGGAGATTTGGGGGTGGAGCCTAGAGTGGGTGGGGTTTGGAGAGGGCAGGGAGTATAATGCCTTTCCTCCTTGGGAGCTGATCTCTGCTGTCTGCAGATCAGTTGTAATTCCAGGAGATCTCCAGGCTGCACCTGTAGACTGGCAACCCTACTAGTTGTAGGGACTGTCTGCCAAGGACAGTGCAGGAGGACCTGGGGGGGGGAGCGCTGCCCCATTTACCCTAATGGGCCAGCCTCCAATACTGTAATGATCACCCTCCTTTCTTTTGCTACTATTAATGCTTCAATTTCTCACAGGAGCTGATGGATTAGACACTTGCTATGTGTGTGTGCGTGTGTACACATGTACGCATGTAGTAAGGGGGAGGGGGCAAGCTGTGGCAATTCCATGGGGGTGTGCAATTAAGCAATATAGCACCTAGACGAGATGCTTTCATCACTGAAGTGGAAAACCTGTCTGCAGAAGCCACGCAACAGGTTCCCGAAAATGTACAACGTGACATGGATAAAACAGGACATTCTCTTGCGCCTTAACTACAAGGGGATAAAAATTAAGAATACAGTGGATAATACAGCAAACGGGGGGTCATCTTCCATCATTTTTGCTTCGGTGCGCCACGGTGCTGCTACAGTTCCTTTTCACTGGCTGTTGAACCTGGGGTTCACAACCGTGGTCGTGGCGCTCTTGAAGAGAGGGTTGTCAGCCTGCCAAGGAAACATCACACAAGGGCCTGCAGTTAGTATAACCTTTCCAGATCAGATCTGGAACTAGATAACAACAATGTCTGACACCTTTGTTAGCCTCTACAGCCATTACAGGGCCTATTGTAACGGAGTCTGTGTTCTTAGCCGTTAGAGCTGTTGCGAATGGTTGCTGGGCTCATCTTGAATATCTTTGTGTTTTGAATGGAAGTATCATCTCCTGCCTTTTAACTATGTGCATAACCATCCCTATCCCCCGGGTCACCTGTGGCATATATCATTCTGCTGACTGAGCTGTCACTTCATGCATCTGATGAAGTAGGATCTATGCCACTAAATCAAGGGTGGCCAAACTGCGGCTCAGGAGCCACATGTGGCTCTTTCACACATATTGTGCGGCTCCCGGCAGGGCATCCGGGGAAGCGAAGGGGAGACATACGGTTTGCTTTGTTTCTCTCTCTCTCTCTCTCTTTCTTTCCACCTCTTTCATTTTTTCTTTCCACCTCTCTCTTTCTCTCTCTCTCTTAGACAAATAAATATAATTAGCAAACAAGTATCATTTCCAGTATCTCTTTTTACCCCCTTTGTTTTTATTTTTGCCAGTCTCATTTAATGTTAATAAAAAGGCAAATTTGCATATTTTAAAATAAAAATGTGCGTATAATATTTGTTCATGTTTTGCGGCGCTCAGACATCTGACATTTATTTTCTGTGGCTCTTACGCTGAGCAAGTTTGGCCACCCCGGCACCACTAAATCAATACATCTGTGTCAATAAATCACGCTCTTCATTCCCCATGTCTGCGTGGTGGTGATTAGACCAACCTGCGCTAGGCAAGTTGCGTGACCTCTGTCCACAGAAATCCATCTATGAGGCCAAAGCCATGAGCTTTTCACCGCCCCTTCCCTCTGCCATCATTTCAGCATCTCCAGACTGGAGACAGAAGGAAAGCTGCTGTCTCTTAACTACAGGCTTAAGCACACAGCTTCAGCCACTAAAACCCACCGGACAAAGCAAAATGCCTTTTGCTCAACTCATTGTTTCCTCCAGCTATGTTCTGCACCCTCTAGGCCAGCAGAAGTCATGCCAGAGCTGGCTCAACCTCTGTGCCTAATCATTTGGAAGAGCCAGAAACAAATGCACAGGCAGGTCCTTCCCCACACCACGAGCCTCTTACGTCATTCCACTTGGCCCTGGCCTTTTCCGTCTCAAACCGGCGATATTCCCGGCGGTCAATCAGCTCCGTCACGAATCGCCAGATAATGAGGAGGAGGAGCCCGATGAGAGCCACCCCGGCGATGATGCCGCCCACGATGGCCGCAATATTCGGGGGCTCTGGACACTCTGAGGACAGGGGAAGAGCAGAAGACCTGGGTTATCAGACTGAGGAACGGAAACTGGTGTGTGTGTGTGTGTATCATAAGAACATAAGAGAAGCCAGTGTCAGATCAGGCCAATGGCCCACCCAGTCCAACACTCTGTGTCACAGTGGCACAGGTAGCAAAGAGTTTTCATCTTTAAAAGAAGACTGCCGTCATCCCATGTATGGGGAGGGGTGGTGGTGGTGGTGAGATTTTCATACCTTTTTCCGGATTGACTTCCACCAAATACTGCTCTTCTCCATCCTCCTGAAACATCTTGTAGGAGATCCAGCAGTTTTGAGAATCCTTCTCTCTGCACGCTTTGCTACCTGGTGGCAGCGTGTTTTCTTGCTTAATGTTTGAGCAAGCTGTCGAGCAATTCTTTTCCAGTGGCCCACTAGAAAAGGCTCGGCACTCGACACAGGAACTGGAAAAGAAAGGAGAAGCATGTCTCCAAGAGGAACTATTTTGCAGAACAGAGAAGCAATGGATCAATATTGCAATGGATTCTACTTCGATAGTACATTTCAAATGTTCAAAGTAATTCACATTCATCATCTCAGTAATCCTGACATCAGCTCTGCTCAGACTAGAATCATTAACATCAAATTGCAGACGTGGGGAGAACATGGCTCTTTGACCATGGAGATTGTGCCTGATGTGAAATTTGAACTCAAGACCCCTCATGCTTACAGCTCTTGTTCTTAAACACACTATTCTGAACCAATAGATCAGCGAGGGCTGATCGGGTAATGTAAAATGTAGCTTTAATGTTAAGAATGCAGGTTAAGACACACAGGCTAGTGATGAAGACCTAAGAAAAGGGATGACGAGTTTATCACAAATGGAGATTGTGATTCATCATTGTGGGTAGCGTGCACAGAAAGACAGGAGAGTATTGCAACCTAAAGAATGAGCAGATGAAGAGAGGCCATCTAAAGAGAACAAGCCCTGCGGTGCTGTGTAATGCAGAAATATGGACAATGGCTTAATATGGCTTAAGTCCATATGAACCTGCTTTATATCAGTTCAGAATGTTGGCCTACCAACTCTGACTCAATGGAGGCGCATCTAGAAATTAATTGCAAACCAAATAGCTTCGTTGCTCAGCAATGCCTAATATGCCAAATCTGATTCCTTAAAATAACATCCACCAGAAATTTTTAGAAATTATTGTTACTCTGGTGCTACAGTGGGGCTATTGGGGGCTCTTCCCCCTTCCTTAAAGGACCAGCCCCACACGATTTTTTTGAGAAGATTTTTTGAGAAGAATGGGGGGGGGGGCGTGCACACAGGCTCCCACGCTTCTTCTCAAAAGCATTTGAAGGCATCCTTTAAATGCTTTTGAAAAGAGGCAGGGGACGGCACACGCCCCTCTCCCTCCCTCCTGCAAGATTTAAAGGGCCCTCCAGCTGATCGGCGGGCAACATGCTCCCTGCCGATCAGCTGCAGGGCCCTTTAAATCTTGCAAGAGGGGAGGGAGAGGGGTGGCTGTTGGCAGTTGGGCTTGAGGGCAGATTGGAGCAGACATAAAAATAACGGCAACCCCACCAGAATTCCCCCCCCGAAAAAACAACAAAATCCTAGCTACGGGCCTTCTCTGGTGCCATGCAACCTGTTTTTTACAGTTACACAAGGCAAGGTGAGGAGTGCAGGAACAGCAGGCCAGGGAAGATAATGGACCAGAAGAGAATCTGACAGGAGCGTGTCCCAACCAGAAGAGTTAACTGATGGAGACAGACACTGCTATACACTGTTTTTTCCAATTTCTGCCAATCCCTGAACTGTGTCCACTGCTCAGTGAGGGCTTTTTAAACTCCTTATAAGCAGTAGTCTTTGAGTGCTATTCTGATGTCTGCTAGAGGGACTGCTGGGAAAGGAGCAAATGTTTTGGTCTTTGAATGCAGGCCCTGAAGCCTCAGGAAGGGGGACAGAGCTGGAGATGATGGGTTTTTCGGCATTCTCATTTTCCTCCCTTGTGAGTTCCTATTGTTTCGGGTGTGTGCGTGTTTGTGTGTGTGTGCTGCTGTTATGCATGTGTTTTGCTCCCTCTAGTGGTCAATTCAATATTGCATCAGTTCATGTCCAGCATAAAACCCTGCAGTTTAAATCTGGATATGCTGGATAAAAACCAATGTCACAGTGAATCGATAACTAAAGGGAGCAAAACACATGCTGAATAGGGGTGGGTGGGAACGGAAGCAACATAACTCACAAGTGCAGAAAAGGAGAATGTAGGAAACTCCTACTTTCTCCTTTCCATCCTCCACATAGGCCATTTTTGTTTAAAAATACATGCCCCTCCCACGTCTTCCTTGGGGGATCCTGGAAAAGGAGGAAAAACTTATTCACAAGCCAAAATTATCACACCATCCTACAATGCAAGTGAGAATGCTAGCTGCCTATAAAATGAGGCTGCTCTGTCATCTCTGTCTGAAATCTAGCAGGCAGAATATGAGTGGCATGCCATTCTGGAGAATGTCACTCCAGTTGGTTGGCGGGAGAGGAGGGTTACAGGTTCCCATGAGATGAGCAGAAATGAAAGTCAAATACTGCCACAAGAACAAGTTTATTAACTTTTAAAATTTTAAAAATGTAAAACTAATAGTATCAAGTGACAATTAGGTGAATCTGCTGGATGTCTCTTCTTAGGGTGCGACATTTACCTGTATTTGGCACAAGGCGATGAACATCCTGGGCACTCTTGGCAAAACGGGAGCTGGTAGCCGTGCTGGCAGCGGCACGTGTTGCATTCGCATCTACCCCGGCCGCTGCACACGTTCCCCTTCAAATTCACACAACCGTCTGTTGTACTCCTGCAATGGCAGGCACTGCCTTCAAAGCCAGGGTTGCATTTACATTTCCCGCAGTCGCAACGTCCTCGTTCTGGGTGGGTGGGGGGGAGGAGGAGATTTTAGAACGGAGAAAGCAGCCACTAATCTGAAGTGGAAACGGCAAAAGGTCTTTGCGGCTAATGCCGACCCTGTTAAATGAAGGACTCGGCAGTTTCTCCTGCCCCCACCCCCTAGCAGCTTCATCCTTCTACAGGGTAGATAGGCTGATCGGTCTGTCAGCGCAGACAAGCTTCATGTCTATATTGTGTGAATCAACCCCGGACGAGAGTTTTCAAATGTGACAAATGTTTATTTTTTAAAAATTTTCCTTGTTCCTTTCTTATACTTTTACCTTTTCCTCTCATTTTTGTAGAGCTTTAATGTTGTATTAATTTTTAGCTTACAGCTTTAAATTTCTTCTTTAAGGTATCCCTTTCCTCTTTCCTTTTCTCAACATTATCCATTTATAATTTTCCAGACCCAGACTAAGCAGAGGCAGGAAATGGCCAACCACCTCTGTTTGTGTCTTGCCTTGACAGCCCTACAGGGTCGCCATTAAGCCAGCTGCAACCTGATGACACTTTCTACCACCTTCACTTTCTACTCCTTCAGCTAAAACGGTGTCTTGAGGCCACATTCATGGCAGATTTTTAATTTTCCAGATGTGATGCTTCTCGTTGCTACAGACTGCTTGACTTGAGAATGGTTGTCCTGTTTTCTGTCTTGACTTTTTACGTGACATTCTTTTTTTTAAAATTAAGTTTATTTATTGCGTTTTATAAGCCTATATTATACACATAAACATAAACAAGATCATTGACAAAATTACGTATACATCCGCACCTTGAACCACACTTACTTTCTAGAAAAATCATAATGACATTCCCAAAATACTTTCAGAAACTAATTTTCCCTTCTTTCCAATCTTCATATCTACTCTGTCACATAAATATGCTTTGAAACCCTTATAATATTTTTACTAATTCATTTAGTACCAAATCACTAATAACCGTTATTATCAATTTAGATTACTCATCATAATACCAATTAATTACCTCATAGTCACTGTCTTTAAACAATTATTCATTTACCCTTATTATTTCCCTTATATCTTAAAACAACCCCTTCTAATCACCACTAATTGTCCCAACAAAATCCAATACAAAAACATACATTTATAAGTAAGTAGGTATAAATACAAATACTAATAGTTCAGATCATGGGCCATTAAATTTCGGGTCAGTCTTCCAGTTTATATCTAAAGAGGAGGAAAGCACAACATTCTCTTTTTCATATCGCTTAATTTTTCTTCTGAACATCAGCAGTTTATTTTTTTCTCTCAGCATTTCAACCTGCCTTTGTTCCTTAAACACTCCTATGCCTTCATCTCTCTCTCCTCTGTCTCGTTGCTACAGACTGCTTGACTTGAGAATGGTTGTCCTGTTTTCTGTCTTGACTTTTTATGTGACATTCTTGAAGCAATCCATTTTATTCCAGAAGGCAAAAAGTGATACTTTTAATTGTTTATTTTAAAAGACCCTTAATTTCTTGGCATTGTAAACCAACCCTTGCTAGCACAAGAGTGTTTGAACGCTGGTACAAAAGAGAAGATGAAAGACTATCTATCTATCTATCTATCTATCTATCTATCTATCTATCTATCTATCTATCTATTCTGGCCTTATCTCCTCAGACTCAGGACAGCTACTTAATACTTGAACTCTGACGATAAAAACCCTTATATGTAAGCAGGGCTTTTTTCTGGGGGAACGTGCTGGAAGAGAGTTCCGGAACCTCTTTGTGGAAACAAAATTCTCAAAAATTGTCTAAAGGTTCATGAGGGAAACCGGGAGGGAATGTGACATCACTTGCGATGTCACAAAATATTGCCATAAAATTTTTTAAAAAAAGATTTAAATGAGGGGATGCTTCAAGGTCATCATTCAGTGTTGGGCGCCAAAAGCAAGACCCGAAAAAGAACTGAGAAAGTCGGTGACGTGTCTAAAGTTTGGAAGCTGCTTTAAAGCAGAGGTAAGTCCGTAATGCATGAAAATAATATTGTTTCAAAGAAAGCCATGTGCTTCTCATTCATTTCCCTCTTGAGAATTCTGACACCTCTTTTTTTTTTAAAAAAAGCCCTCTATATAAGGAAATCACAGAATGATGGAACTTAGTTCCAAGTAATATGATCAGACCCACAGTACCACTCTGTTCCATTAATCTGCCCAAGTCCTCTCCAGGCCTTGGTATAGGCAGGAACAGAGAGGAAAGAAGTAGTTCTCACTGTAGCTCCAGACACAGACTTGTTTAAACTGGACTAAACTGTGCTCTTTGAAACCAGGCTGCCTCCATCTTTTGATGCCTAGCATGAAAGATGCGACAAGCAGTAGTATTCAAGCAGCTCTTCCTAAGATGCACAGAGTTAAAATGGTGAAAGAACATAACTGAAATGATGCCCTGGAAAGGCCTGCAGCAGAAAAAGCAGCCCTGCGGAAACCGTGGAAAGTGAGGGCTGAAAGAGGCCCGAGATCTTCTCCCCGTCACTCACCTTCCCCTCCGCACACCCGGCCGTCGTGAAGTTCACAGTTGACGTTGTCACACTCGCAGAAGGTCCCGTAGATCTGCTTTTTGGGATCATCACTGGTGTGGCAGGCGCACTGTCCGCACACACAGTCCCCTAGGCCGGAGCATATGACCGAGGCATTGTCTTTTCGACAAGTCTTTTCTAGTTCCCTGCTGGATTTGCCTCCGGTCTCGCAATCACAGTTCTTGCCGGTGAAACCGGGATTGCACCTGGCAGGAGGGAGGAAAAAGATTCTGAGCACAGAAAAGGACTGAGAAGCAAGACTCGGCGTGAGACAAAAAATCCTGCAGTGTTTTTTTTTTTTGCTCATACTGTGATCTTTTCAGTGTGGTTTTTGGGAGGCTGATCTGCTCGCATGCTTCTCTGTCTTTCTCTCTTTTAGCATCATTTAAGATCCAACTCCTGTCTACACTGAAGCACTTGCTGCTGTTCAACCTCCAAAGGATTTAGTTTGTAGGGCTGGCGTAATATTTCCGGCTATCAGACAGTCTCAGATTCAGTTTTTTAGCTCATTGTGTTATTAACTTGGATTTCACCCACTCCAAGGGGCTGAGATAAGTATCCCAGCAATGCAAATACGCCCATGGCATCATTATGTACTCTTAAAATTTATGACTGCCCAGAAGCAGTGTCATATTTGCAGAGTCGATTTTATGCAGTTTTCTGATTTCTGTTCTTACATACATACATTTCTGTTCCTACTTACATACGAATTCCTACATATGTGCTAAGCAAAGATGAAAAATGAACTTAGCTCTAGGGGGTTAACACCCTAGTCAGCTAGTCAATTTCGTAGGTTGGCAGGAGCTGGAACTAGAGACGGGAGCTCACTCCGTCATGCAGCACACTCGGGTCTCGAACTGCTGAACTACTGACCTTCCACAGCCTGCAGTTCAGTGTCTTAACCACTTGAGCCACCGCAGCTCCTTTTATTTACGGCATCGTTATGTACTCTTAACATTTATGACTGCCCAAAAGCAGTGTCACATTCGCAGAGTCGATTTTATGCAGTTTTTTTATTTCTGTTCTTACATACATACATTTCTGTTCCTACTTACATACAAATTCCTACATATGTGCTAAGCAAAGATGAAAAATGAACTTAGCTCTAGGGGGTTAACACCCTAGTCAGCTAGTCAATTTCGGACTTTGGCAAGAGAACAGGTTAAGGGGGGGTATGCTGCAAATACTGTGACATTTTCTCCACGTTTCGAGTTTAAACCTCTCTTATACCAAATCCTCAGACTCCCATATTTAACAGGTTTCTTGAACCACCTAGGGGAATAGCTTGGGGTGCGAGGATGCATCAGAATCCATCTGGGTATGTGTTAGCAAGTTCTTAAATCATGAAGAGAGTCGGGGTTTCCGGTTTTTGGCGTGGAGGCCAAGCGAGCAACATGTACCTTTGGGGAGGTCTTTGGGCCGACATGAACTGTGAGTCCGTGAAAGCGAAAACACCAGGATAAAGGCAGAAAGCCTCCCCCCCCGTAATAAAAGCGAGCAGGGGAGGGAACTTCCCAAACGCAAAGAAAAGACAAAGGCATCTCCAAAGGGGTGAGGCAGCCATAAAAGCAAAACTGAGCTGTTTTAAGAACTTCACAAGAGATTTACAAGCATTAGAACCACCTAGGGGAATAGCTTGGGGGGCGAGGATGCATCAGAATCCATCTGGGTATGTCTTAGCAAGTTCTTAAATCATGAAGAGATTCGGGGTTTCTGGTTTCTGGTGTGGAGGCCGAGACCTTTGGCGAAGTCTTTGGGCGGACATGAATGGTGAGTCCGTGCAAGTGAAAATACCAGGATAAAGGCAGAAAGCCTCCCCCCCTGTAATAAAAGCGAGCAGGGGAGGGAACTTCCCAAACGCAAAGAAAAGACAAAGGCATCTCCAAAGGGGTGAGGCAGCCATAAAAGCAAAACTGAGCTGTTTTAAGAACTTCACAAGAGATTTACAAGCATTAGCGCAAACTTTAGAGACTTTTGGCAAACTACTCTTAAAGATAAACATCCCCAAAGATGGCGAGCAAAAAACCTGAGAAGGATAAGCAAGCAAAACTTAAGCTTTCTTCAGGAAGTCCGAGTCCAGCTGGTCTGGTCAGCCGACCGGAAACTTCCACAGACATTTCTAAGATGTTAGCAGACTCTTTGCGGCCTCTGCTGGAACAAATGACAAACATAAACCAGCAACTGACAACTT